AAGAGTATTTATAACATACTACATGGATTAACTATGAAAGCATTTACATAGTTATAAAAATATAAAACTAAGTACAGATATAACTTTAAAATTTTATTCATACATAAGCATACTGAAAGAATGGTAGACAGGAACTGTCAAAAGATTGGTAAGGGCAGTAGAGAAAATTAACAAACATTATTATCCATAGTGGTACATCAGTAGTTAATTCCTAACATAAAAAATTGCCAAAAATAATCAGTATAAGAATATTAACCTGTATAAATACCAAAAGAAACTGAGAGGTCGCTGCTTCTTGTGAAGGAAACATAGAAAGTGAAGAAATATTGTATGATTTTTCTGTGTGTTTTTTGTTGTTGTTGTTGTTTTTAATAAACCATGGAGAACCTTCTGATGCTTTAAACTACGTGCTTTCATATCATAAAAAAAAAAAAATCACATATTTCAATGCAAGTACATGGTTTATTTAACTTGTATGTATCAAGGAATAGGTGTCTAGAACTTACTTTCAGTATTATTAAAGGTCTCCTGCAGTAAAATAACTCTGGTTTGAAGAGAAAGGAAAGCAAGGTTTATTGAGCACACATTAAATGTCAGGCCCAATGTTAGCTTTACAAAATCATCCCTTGCTCTGGTCATTCCACTTTTATGTGGGACTGGAAGCTCTGAAAAAACTGAGTCACACAACAAATGAAAGATGTGTTGACAAGTTTAAGTTCAGTCTGTTTCATGAAAACGCCCAACCTATTTAAAGTCCTGGTGTGGTGCTGTAGAATAAGCACCAGACCTCAAGGTTAGTTTGAAATGCAGAGTGAGTGGTTCAAATCCACTGGCCACTCCACAGAAACCCTACACAGGGCTGCTATTATGAGTTGGAACCGATTATATAACACTTAATAACATCAACCTCTATTTTCATTTCAACTCCTGTTATCCATCTCTTTAACTATCTAGATACCACAGGCATGTCTTCAGTTTCTATAGCCATAAAAGAATGACATAACAAATGTCAGTGACAATACTATCCATCTCTCAGAGGCCAATCTAACTGCTACCTCCTCTGCCCTCTACCAGCTCTACTCTCCAGACTCGATCGTGTGCTACTTTCTGTACCAATTATTATCTGGATACATTTTCAGCCCTAACCGGAAGCTACAAGTTATCCATCAATTCCTAAGCATACTGTATAATCAAATTGCTGAGCATTTTGCAAGTATGCTCTATACATTATTCAAAACACAGAGAGCTCCCCACACAAATATCTTTAGAAAACAGTAAGGTGGTTTTTTGTTGTTGGATTTGTTTTTTTTTGTTGTTGTTGTTGTTTTTTTTAGTTAATGGGTTTTGCAGATATTTTTGGAGACTTAAATATGTGCATCTCTTTGAGGGGATGCAAGAGGCAGTGTTTCCGTAACACATTTTATCATGTTGTCTTTTCCTTCCAGTAGCTCACAGAATTACTTGGGAAATGGTGGAATAAGCAATGTCCAGTCTATTAAATTTTCATCTACACAGATGGGATGAAAATCTTAAGCATAATAGCTAGAGCTGAAAATAAACACGGGAGGTGTATGGTGTTTGACCATCAAATCTCAGAAACATTTCTCTCAAAACAAGCACCATTTTCCCCCATCGGTTTTGACATGCTCAAAACACTGGTAGCAAAACCACGTTCAGCATTTTATCAAGTTTCTTTCATTCAATTTTTTGTTTTTAAATTAACAGTACCACATTATTGTTGTTACATGCCATGGAGTTTGTTCGAACTCATAGTGACCCATTTATAGGGTTTCTGAGGAATGGATGCTAACTTTGAACTTATGACCTTGGGATTCAAACAGAATTATGGTTGAGTGCTTATCCTACAGTGCCACACCAGGACTCTCATTTAAATATTTTTAAAATTTTTTCATATTTTAATCGCCACTGGAAATGTTGCAGTATTTCTTTAATTACATGATATCATACAATTATTTTCTTGCTAAATACTGTTCAGTGTTCAGAAACTGACATTTCCATTTCAAAAGTAAACAGGCACTCAAACTGCAGGTTATTTTGTTAATGTTACTTGCTACAGAGGACAGTTTCTAACAGAACTTGAAAAATAGCAAGCAACTGTGGCTCTGTTTTTATACCCTGTCTTAATATATCATGTGTGATTTTAAGAGAAATTAAAAATCATTTCTAAACTTCTAAGAAGCAGAGGTATCTCACTGCTCTGCTACACATGCCAGCACAATCAACGGTCCCTGCAGATTTTCAACCACTAATGTAGTGTTTAAGGAGCTCTGGCAGTGTAGTGGTTACGAGTCAGGCTGCTAACCTCATGGTCAGCAGTTCAAAACTACCAGCAGTTCCGTGGGAGAAAATATGAGGCTTTCTGTTCCCGTAAAGATTTACAGCTTCGGAAACCCTGTGCAGGGTCATTATGAGTCAGAACCGACTCCACGGCACATAACCACCACCACCAATGTAGTGTTTAGAGTACAGCAACATTTCCTACAAAGTCACTGAAAATAAAAATGCTAGTTGTTTTAATAAATCTAAAAGGAAAAAAAAATCTGTCTGATAATGGCTTTCTCACTAAACAAAAAATAAGAAGAGAGTAGTTATTATGTGCCAGGCAATATTCTAACTACAAAGGATACCTCAGTCAACAAAAATGATGAGGCATACATGCAGGTAAATCATCTAACATTAGGAGCACTATGTCGGGGGGAGGGGGATGATGTAATTAAAAGATAGCAGCAGGAGGAAAATGTTACAATTGTTAATCTGCTGGTCAGTGCCTCAATGATAAGAAAACATGAGGGCAAAAACTTCAGGGAGGGGAGGTCCAAACAATGATGCTCTAAAAACAGCAAGAGCTCTTATGTGCTGAACAACATCTGAATCCACGCAACTTACACCAAAGGAATATGTGACCATGGAGTTCCACAAAGCCTCTACAACAAGAATGTAAAGGCATCACTTTGCCTAATTAATGAGGATTTTAAATATCCTCCTTACAATAGCCTACAGAGTCTAATTAGGGAAAGGAAACATGCACATTCTACTTCTGAACTAATAAATACATGCTTCTTAGGCAGTTAAATGTTTTCACTCAATGCATAGCAACATAATCACCTAGAATTGCTTTTTAAATTTTCTGGTGATACACAAGCTTCTTTCTTTATTTCCCCCTCTCCAACTATTCTGCTGCCCAAAAGAACACCTTTGAAACCAGAACACTCAATTATGTCCCCAGAAATGAAAACTCTATAAATCTACAAAGCCTGCAGCATATAACTTTAGGCAGGTTGTTCAGAATAGAAAGGACAGAAAGTCAAAGTTTTGATAACGAGAGAGGGAAAATGTTCTAACTGTCCAAGGAGGCCAGTAATGGTGAAAGTTTCTCAATGTGCCTAAAGCATAAACACACCCACCCTGTGAAGAGCAGGGTACTGCTGAAGACCACACAGGAAGCTACAGCTCATGGGAGACTGGACCCAGAGTCAGCTAAATCCCCAGTAAGACTTTCAAAGAGCACTTGGACTTTCCCTACACACTTAAAATTTACAGAAATGAATTAAAGATTTGTGAATATTTAAACTCACTGATTCATTCCATCAGTGTGTGTAACTGAACGCTGACTAATACCTTTGATTCACTTGTTGAGAATAATAATGTCTAAGAAAATGATATTAGATACAGTAGGCTAAGAAATACTCTGTTTTTTCAAAATCTAATTTTCTTGAAGGATGCAATGATATAAATTATTAACCATATAACTGTTAAGTTGTTGTTGTTAAGTGCCATCAAGCGGGTTCTGACCTTTTAAAGAGTTTCTGAGGAGTGGCTGGTGAGCTTGAACTGCCAACCTTTCAGTCCATTGTGCATTAACCCACAACCATATAATTAGTAACCATAACAGTTTGAAGTTGCTTTGTTTTCATTTTTTTCTTTCTTCCTTTATTCAGAAATATAATCCCCGCTCTTATTAGTCATCTGAGGCTGCTTCTGGTAATTTTATTGCTAGTAAAATTTATTTTAGATTAAACCAAGGCACTCAAGAAATGATGAACACTTTTACGGGCACAGCAGAAACAGCACATTGTAGGAGCTCACCAAGTTCACTATTTAACCATGAGAAGCTTAATCACAAAATAATTTAGATAAGTCATGAGGAACACTTCACATAAGTATTTCAAAATGACATCCAAAATCGGATGCCAGGAAACAATTCTAATTAAACATAATCCCTTTCCAAAGATATCTTAGTACTGCAAAATGCTTAAGGGACAGAAGTAATTTTGTAAAGATCAGAGATGACAAATGTTTTAAAAAGTATAATATTCTAGGGACCCTGACCTTCTGTGTACCATACTAAAATAAAAACAATTTATCAGTAACAGTGAAGACTGAAATCGAACAATGACATAGTCTCCCCTAACTACAATAAGCCTTGTATTCTTAAACAGAACACTGTTAAGATATGAGCAAAAGCCAAACAATGAGAGCTGAGTAATACTAATACAATCTATGTTGTTATTATTTGCTACAAATCGAGACACCGGATAACGTATTTGGGTGAAAACCTGGTAAGGATAAAGGTGGAAGCTCTAGATATAAAAATCATAATGTTCAGCTAGAATTGCTATTCAGAATCTTAATTCAGCATTTCACATAGCTTATCACACAGTTACTCTTAATGTCACAAATCCTGGTGTGGCAGTGTAGACTAAGCACTAGACTGCTAAACACAGGCCAGCAGTTCAAACCTACCAGCCACTCCTGAGAAACCCTATACAGGGTTGCTATAAATTGGAAGCAATTCATTAGCACATAACAATTTTTTGTCTTATTGGATAAAGTATATTGAAAGTCTCAATACAGTCTCTCTGTAGGGGGAGTGGGGGAAGACAAATTCTAGCAGGTTTAAACTGGATAAATGTGAGTTTTTGTTTTTCTTTTTTAAACGTGCTACTTAAAATGTTTTTAAAAATAAAATAAATACACACCCTTGAGGAGAGAGTTTGTCCAGCCACCCAGATTTCACCTTCCTTGTAGAGGATCCGTAAAAACAGGCATAAGGTGATATTGCATTGGAGGGAATGGCTGATGCATCCGCATTTCCACTTGCAGAGCTACATGGGTAACTGTGCCTAGTAAGAGGGTCCAAATTCAATACTTTTTGAGTCCTAGATTTAGATGCCTTTGAATTTTTTCTTCTTAAACTATGAAAACACTCTTCTACTGTTGAGTATTCTGATTCAGAAGCAGAGTCTATTGGAACATTATTTTTGTCCTCTCGAGGTATCCAAATATCTTCCACTTTTTCTTCATTTGTTTTTTCTGTCCTGTTATCATATAGGCTAAAAAAAAACAAAAAGGACATATGTTAGTTCTCTCAAAGTGTTATGTGTGGGGAGGTGGAGCTTGATGGCAGATAGGGTAGAAGTGCAGTGAAGATCTCTATCAGCAGTAACACAGAGTAATAGATGAAATAGGTTTAGGGGAGAGCTCCAAAACTCTGAACCACAAATATAGGAATATTTTTAAATTTTGAAGGCTTATATCTGGTGGAACTTGTAGTTGAAGCAAGAAATCTCGAACTTTCAAACCCGCTGGGCTTAAGAATTATCAGCATTCAAAAACAGGAAGAAGCACACAAGTCCACAGAGAAGATAGCTGAAGAGCTGCTGGAAGAAAATATTTCTAGCATCTTAAAAAGCGAAAAGATAAGAATTCAAGAAGCTCAACGAACCCCAGGAAGGATGGACCCCAAAATAAAATAACAGAGACATATCATAAATCAACCTCTTCAAAATCAAAGATAGGAAGCAATACTGCAAGCAGCTAGGGTAAAGAGAAGCATTACATACAAAGGCAACCAAGTCAGATTAAGCTCAGATCTCTCAGCAGAAACCATACAGGCAAGAAGACAGACAATGGGGAGACATATATAATGCCATGAAAAAAAAAAAAAAAAAATACAACTGTCAACCAAGAATCCTTTATCCAGCAAAGCTGTCAATCAAAAACAATGGTGTAATCAAAACATTCCAGGATCAACAGAAGCTAAGGGACTTTTCCAAAGCCAGCCCTGCGCTACAACACATCCCAAAGGGAGTTCAGTAGATTCAGAATCAATAAGAATAGACAACAAGTAGAGACTGACATACATGGCAGCACCACCTGGAACTCAATCAACAAATGGAAGAGTGGAGAACAGAACAAAACCATAAAAACAAATTCAGAGGATTTGGGAGGTCAGTCTATGATCAAAACAATTACAATGTGAAAGACAGTAAATATGTAGGGACAGAGATCCAGATGGCGAGACGGTCAGGTAAATTACAGGATAAAACAGACTGTATTAAATGGAGAAAAAAGTTCATGGAATATAAGGCAACCACAACAGAGGGGCTGAACTGGGGGGGGATTAGTTCAGGTGTTGGAAGGGCAATACAAGAAGGTGGAGGAGGTGGAAGAACAAGATAGATACGTGAACACAGAGAAAGGTTTGCATGGCCTAAGTGGAACAGAGATAAATAGTGATGCATACTCAACCTTGGAACAACAGGGCCTTGTGATACAGGGATATAAGGATAGTTTGAAGAGGGGAAATAATACTACAGTGCTTGACTGTTTTATGAATATTGGTTTCCCTTGCCTACGATTGTAAAATAGACACTTGAGTGGGATAGAAAAGAATGTTGAGAAACATGATTACAAAAAACTTGTAAGCCAGTCTTCAACCTATAACTGATTGGAATACCTAAAAGGGGTTTTATAACTTGCCCAGTGAAATAGGCCTCTTACAAAACCTTTCAGAGTATAGGTGGAATCCTGAGTCCCATCCACAACTTTATGAGGTGGCACATTCCCACTAGCAAGGGCAAGCAGACCATCCTGGAATAACTAGAGCAATAGAAGATACACCTTCAAAGTAAGATCATCAGGAAAAATCCAAAACAAAAATATCAGCATGATTGGAAACTACAACAATAAGCAAGCTGTTCGCCAGGAAGCCATCAAGGCAAGCAATCAAGTTCCTTCAGGATAAACTCCCCTCTAAGACTAAAACTCAAAGGGAACAAATGAACAGGCACATTAGCTTGCTGGTGACCACACTGGTCTACTGGCACGTGGAAGAGGGGGAAAGGCAGCAATGAAGAAATGGGCTGAGTTGAACCACAGTCCATTGACTACTGCTGACCTGGAGATGAGAGAGAGAAGTGGAAGGGCTGGTTGGTCCAAAGTGTGGTGAGACCTGGGGACAACAACACAGTCACAGACGGCTAGAGCTGAGAGTGAAGCATCCAGCTGATATGAAGTGAGGGGAGATGCACAAGAACACCCAAAATTGCAGACAGTACCCATTTGACCAAGCCTTGCTGGCTTGATAATCAGAACTCAACTAGAGGAAGGGTAAATTGCTACAATTTGATGAACCTGATCTATACTCATGGAGGTAGTAACTCTAAATTCCAACAGCGAGGAAGGAGTCTTTACATTAAATATCAGTGCTATCCCTTCTGTACACAGGGTAGATATGGATGGGCAACTTAGACTAGGCTACCTAAAATAAGGGTGAGATTAAGGCATGAAGTGATTGGCTTACAAGGTTTCAAGAGGGAATTTAGTTTAATAGTATGGGGGGAAGAAAGAGGCTCCACTGAATAATTCTCATCTTCTCTAGATGGATCTGGTGAAAAGAGATGGGGATAAGATTTGTATGATTCAATAGTGAGTTAATTGTTATCATGACTAATTACAACTGTCACAATTGTAAAAGCAAAAGTTTTGTAACAAAGACAGGGGAGTGGTTAATCATATAATCCAGAAACAGAGGACCCAACGATCAAGGTAGGATGAAGGGAGAAGAGCACAAGCAGAATGTGGGAATTTATCCGAAGAAGTAGCCACACCAGAGACAGAGGCAGTGATGGGGTAATGCAGAGGGGGAGGGGCTGAGGACTCCAGATGCATGGGAAGAGAGGAACTAAGAGCTGGTGGCTAGGAGGCAGACTTGCAGAATGTGGCCTTAGGAGGTATAAATTATTATATATGCCTGTGTGGGGTTTTCTGTTGTTGTTTAAAAAAAAAAAAAAGCTAAAGTGAATACAGAGAAAACTGTTAATTGTTGGTACATTGAAGGGGATTACAATCATTGTAATGAAACAAGGTATATGATTTGTTGAATGTAAAACTGATAATCTGCCCTATAAAGTTGCACTCAATTCACAATAGAAACCTTAAAAAAAAAGAAAAGTTAATGGAATAAAAGGTAA